TCAGCTAAATAATGGAACATTTATGACATACTTAATAGTGTAAACAAATTATTCCTTGTTTACCTGAAGTTCAAATTTAACTGGGCATCTTTTTCTTTGTTAAAGCTGGCAACTCTATATTATGATATATGCCGTAATAACATGGTGATGCCTATGTTGCTGTTGAGTTATGGTAGCTAATTGTCCTGACGTGTAGGTGTCTCGAGAAATTGTGCTTCTAGAATTTTGCAGTTATATTTTTTTTTTACAGTCTCTTTCCTTGGTATTCAATGATTGCATTGCTCATTGTAGCCAGTTTCCCACTCCTTCTATTTGATTTGGCTTAGGCTGGGAAGTAAGATTCCTAAACACTAGTGATTTTCTGTAAAGAAGGAGTAAAAGGTTTCTGAGCAATAGAGTAAGTACTTGGGGTATATACTTGACAAAATATGCAAAATTTAAAGCAATGACTTCATAAGATCTTGGTTGACTTCCCAGAGACTAACGGGTGGCCCCTTTCAAAGTCCCTTAGGCTAACTGAATCATAGCTTATTTCCTGGGGTTCATTAATCTATGTTTTTTAAAAACTATTACAAAAGTTTATTTAACAAAAAGTTTAATATGCACATGTACATGGCCTGATTTAATTAATTAATGTGTGTTTGCAGGCGTGTATTTTTGCCATGCTCTACCTCTGAGCTAGACTGCCTCCTCCCCCAACCTTCCCCATCTTACTTCATAGTGCAACAGGCCCTTTGGAGAGTGGACATGGATTTCTCTGCTGAGCAGCCATTACCCAAACTCCTTTCAGTCTTCTAACATGAGGATACTATTTCCTCACATTACCACCGTTCCAGTATTGTTCTGTTGCCTGCTAGTTGCCACCTCCACACATCTATCACAGGATTCATAAAGGGATCGAATTCTTGCAATATTTCTTAGCTATGTCTGCCACCATCTAATTTCAATGACAGTTTCTTGTCCACTTTTTTATTTTCTTTTTCTTTATTTAGTTCAGGAGGGTGAGCTTTGCTCTTGGTATCTCCTGGTGGGCTCAGAGATGCTTTGAAATGGAATTTGCAGCCTCCAAGTGCATTATTTATAGGACACTGTACAAGAAGAAATTAGCCTCTGTTAGAAAAGAGATTAAAGCTAGATATAGAGAATTTGCCACTGTGTTTTTACACTTGCACAGGATTCTGGATATTTTTTCCTGAAAATCTTTAAGAGTCAGGAAGATACTTACCTGGCTTGACTATAGGTAGTCTTGCCTCGAGGCTGAGGACTACACTATGTGAACTCTAGAAATTGCTGGCAGAAACAGATGGTCTCTGACTTATTATGGTTCAACTTATGAGTTTTTGACTTTATGATAATGGTTTGAAAGTGATATACATTCAGTAGAAACTATACTTGGAATTTTTATCTTTCATCTGGCTAGTGATCTACAGTACAATACTCCCAGTCACATGATCAGAAGGGAAAACAAATGACACTCTACAGTATACTGTGTTGCAACCTATGATGTTAGGTAGGTCAGGTGTATTAAATGCATTTTTTACTTACATTTTCAACTTATGAAGAGTTTATTGGAACATAGTCCTATCATGAGGCAAGGAACATCCATTCATGATTCTGATTACTCTTAGGCCTTATCTAATCAACTCAGAATAATGACTACATCTAAAATGATGAAAATAAAAACTGGCCAGTATAATATCTACAACATAAAACACTGTGTATTCCAAATACAGTGCTTAGAAGAGGTTTGAGCCAGTCTGCAAAATCTAATGCAGAACGAATTACAATGTCTATTCTTCCCTAACTGCACTCATTTACACAATGATGAAACAATTTTTTCTGCTCTAGGCAATCCTTGCTCTGAATACAGATTTGAAGTGGCTCCTGAATTAGAACTGCTGTTCCTAATACTGAGCCTGTAATTACCAAAGTCAGCATGAAAAGTCAGCAAACACTTCTCCACACCTTATGTATTTGCATTTATCTTTATTTGATGTTAGAAAAATTGTTTGAAAATGATTTATGGTATAAAGAGGATTTTCAGGCTCAGGATGATGAAGTTTTAGGCTATCCAGTTATGTCCACTTTTACTGGCTTTAGTCAAAGAATGACTCATCAGAATCAGATCTTGAGGAATATTCTGGGAGGTGTTAGAAAAGTCTATTACCAAGTAAAGCTCAGCATCTAGGTAAAAGTTAATTTTTCTTCCACGACTTCTGATTGTACAAATCAGAAAATACTTGCTATATCATGACAAAACTATTATGAATAACTCAAGCCTTTTAAAAAACTTGCCTTTTACTCAACAAGAGCAGCTCTGGTCTGTGTAGGTCACAGGAATCATTCGTGTGCTATATATTTAGGTTACTATGACCTAATTCAACTTATTAATGTGTTAAATATAGTTTTCATTTTCCTCTTGATCCGCAAAATAAAAATTCACTTCTAGCCTACGTTAAAACTTGGGTTTTCAGAAAGTATTATTTTTATTTTCAATTTTTGCCTAAGAAATATTTTTGCAGATTTTTTTTTTCTGACAGCTATCTTCTACCTTGAAAGGGTTGTTACAGTATTTTAGTAGACATCTATCATAAAAGACTAATGTGTGCTGTTAAGAGGACAGGGTGGTAAAAAAAATTAGGAAATATTCAATGGACATTTATTGAAGTGCGGGAGAGACCCATGAACAGAGAATTACTTTGCAGTGTGATAAGGATAATGATGAAGACATGCAAACAAGTGTCTTTTTCTTTGTGAATCTATTAAACTTAGCCTTGAAGCACTGGCAAAGAGTGGGGGAAGGGTTGCTAATCACTAGGCTGAATCTTAAAGGATAAATAGTCAGGCAAAAAAATCTGGAGCAGAAAACTTGAGCAAAGACACAGAGGTGAATAGGGAAGTTTTCCCCTTGTCCTCTTAGTTTCTGAAATAGCTCCATAGACCTTGGTGGAAGGGAGGTGCCTCAGCCCCGTCACTGTTAAATCCTGATAGCCTTTTGCAGATATGCTGTGCAGTGGTGACCACATGAGCAGCTATTATGACTAAACTGTCAACCTCCTGTTTTGGTTTCCTACAGCTGCTATAACAAAGTACCAAAAATTGGGTGTCTTAAACAACAGAAATTTATTGTCTCACAGTTCTGGAGAATAGAATTCTAAGACCAAGGTTTGGTCAGGGTTGGTTCCTTCTGAGGTCTGTGATGGAGAATCTGTTCCATCTTCTCTCTTAGCTGCTGGTGGCTAGCTGGCAATCTTTGGTGTTCCTTGGTTTGTATATGCATCACTCTAATCTCTGCCTTCATGTTCATCTGGCATTCTGCCTGTCTGTCTGCATTTCTCCTTTTTATAAGGATCCAGTCATACTGGATGAGGGGGCCCACCCAACTCCAGTATGACCTCATCTTAACTAATTACTTTTGATATATCCCTATTCCCAAATAAAGTCACATTCTAGGTAACGAGGATTATGACTGGAGACTTAAACATGTGCATTTTGAGGGGATACAAGTCAACTCAGTACCCCTTTCCAATGTAAATTTTATAAGGTCAAATATTTATTTCAAAAAATATTTGTCAAGACCTATCTTTTTCTACTTATTACATACAATATGCATATTCTGTTAATTTCCTAGTAACATGGGTTTAATGGAGTATTAGGATTTAGTAAAATCTTACTTAGTGTCTTAGTTGTTGTTTCATTAAATGCTGGTCTTTTTCAAGAGACATTTTCCCAAAATGTAATATCCTAAAACTGAGCACCTCTTAATTGTTGCCATAGGTGCGATCAAGACTGCTAATCTTTGAGGTGTTGGACAATTCTATAAAACAAGAATATATTGAACTACTGTCCAAAAATGGTATAAAGAATAATAGTCAAAATGGCTATCAAACATATTGATGACTGAATAAACAAGAATAAATGAACACTGACAGTCAGTGTTGATGTTTATAATCATTTGATAATATGGCATAGTTTTCTGGGACTAGCGATAGCATCCACAGGCAGAAGATGACATAGTGTCTACATAAATTGCTTTTTTAAAATGTTGTATTTAATCCTAATTTTAGGTATTTAATTAAAATACTTTTAGAAACATTTTTCCACCTCTGCTTACAAAATGGGTCCAAATATTTAGTGTCTAGATGTTTCCTTTCCTTAATGCCTTTTGCTTTTCTTCATATATGTACATATATATGCTAAATATATATGTATATATATATATAGCATACGTTTATGTACTGTTCACAAACATACACCAAATGCAATTTCTGCTATCTCCCCGCCCCCCGCCCACCTTTTTTTTTTTTTTTGGCGGCCCTGGGGTATTGAACTCAGGGCCCCTCACACTTGTTAGGCAGGCGCTCTTTTCCACTTTTTACCCAGAGTAAAACAATTTCGTCTGTACTTCGTTCAGATGCTATTCATTTAGGGAAGCAAAGCTGGCTTTACAGAACCTGGGTGCATGCAGTCAGAAACCCGTGAAGAACCAAGCCTAGGGTTCAGTCAGGGATCCTGTAAACAGACAGTACTACCGTTGCTCTGTCTTGCAGATTTTCATGATTTCCTATCCCCTGATGTGATAGGATTTGTTTTTGGCATTCTTGGTACTGAAATTAATCTCTCTTCGACTATTGGGGTGGCTGTTTTCTTATTTTCCGGTTGTTAGCTGTGCCCTGAGTCTTACAGGTCTCTACGATGCCTAGCTCGCTTTCCTTACGGGTTCATTTCCCTCTCTCCCACAGTCTCAGAGCCTTTCTTCTGTCTTTCGCTTAGTTCCTCTTACTGTCTCGCTGTGTGGGGGGATTTAAATTCCGACCCGGAACTCGGAATCGCGCGCCTTGAATGACGGGAGTCGTAGTTTCCGTGACTCCAGCCTAACCGTCATTCACGCTGATTCCTCCCCTCCGCCAAAACCCACAATTCCCAGGATGCACCCTGGGGTGGGCCCGCCCCCGCGCGCAGGCGCCCTGAGGCCGCAGGATTTGAATCGGCGGCGTTGTTATTGACGCCATATTGGGGCCGGCGGCGGGTGAAGAGTCGTACAGTGGAGGGGGAAGCGGTTGGACGTGTTCGTTGGAGCTCCTGCAGCCGCAGCCACCTCGCCATCCCTCCACACCGACCACCGCCCGCCAGTTTCTCACTGTGTTGGAAGCGGCGTTCCAACCTCACGCCCCCGTTCTTCCTGGGGCTGGTATCGACTTCCGAAGGGAGCCGGTCTCCGAGCAGGAGCGCCTCAGGCGCGGCGCAAAGCCGGAGCGGACGGCGGGGGCGGCCCGAGCCTCTCCCTGGGGAGCCGCGCCGGAGGAGGCGGAAGAGCCCCCCCTGACGCGGCTGGCGTGCGCGCCGCCACCGCCCCTCCCGCTCCCGCCCGGGCCGGTCCCGGCCACTGCCCCTGCCGCGGAGGCAGCGGCGGCGGCGGCAGTGCGGTCCCCAGCGGGCGCTCCGAGACCCGCCGGCTCCGCCTGAGCCCCGTCGGTTGGGCGCCCCGCGAGTGCCCGCTCTTCCCCCTTTCCTTCCGACCCCACCCGAGCGCCTCGGCTGTCCCCGGCCATGGCGTGCGGAGCCACTCTGAAAAGGACTCTGGATTTCGACCCGCTGCTGAGCCCGGCGTCCCCGAAGCGGAGGCGATGTGCGCCATTGTCGGCGCCCACCTCGGCCGCCGCCTCCCCGTCGGCGGCCGCCGCGGCCACCGCCGCCTCCTTCTCGGCCGCGGCCGCCTCGCCGCAGAAGTATCTCCGGATGGAACCGTCCCCGTTCGGCGACGTCTCCTCTCGCCTCACCACAGGTGGGACTCGGTCCCGCGGGGGGCGGGGGTCGCGGGGCGGGGTGAGGCTGCTGGGGTGGGGTGGGGGGACCGGACTGTGGTGTTGTGGCCCTCGTTGTTAGGAAAAGTCGTCGGGCGGCCACATTGGTTTGAAGTCGCTCCTCGGGGTGCGGGGACACAATGGCCCGATGTCGGGGGGGGTTGGGGGGGTTGGTGTCAGGAGGCTGGATGGGTGGGGGCCGTGTCTTGCCCTCACTGTGGGGAAGAGGAAGACCCTTTTCTTTGGGCGGAATGGCTGGAATTGAGTGTTTCCGTAGTTAAGTGGGGACCCGGCGGAAATGATCAGAGAGGGCGATATTATTCATAAATCAGGCGAGGGAAGGGTCACATTTCACCCGAATCTCGCTGTCTGTTGGCCCGAATCGATTGGTTGCAGCTATTAACTCCGGGACTGGGTGGTTTGAGGCGAGACGGCAGCCCCTCCTCCAGCTCAGACATGGCTGATTTTAGTATAGAGGAGGAGGGGTGGGGATGGATGTCACTGGGGCGAGATCTAGGCCTGTCATTAATCACCCACAAGAACGCCACTTTGGCTGAGTCAAGACCTGTTTCCCTAGCAGGGTCAACAACAAAGAAAATGCTCTTCCCAAGTATTGTAATGTGATCACACATTATGCGTCTAGCCCTTGAGAAATCTTGAAGTTTTAGTGGAAATCAAGTTGGGGCTGAGTAGTTGTTTTTATTTGTAAATGCTTTATTTCTACCCAACAAAGTATGTTGGGAGAAAACAACCTATCCTTGAGGATAATGAAGAAATCAACCCAAGATTGCAAGGGACTTCGGACTGACTGGCCTTTCATCTTGGAACATTTCCTGAAAGTGGCTGTGGAGAATGCCTTTTGACTGCTTTGTAAGCATGTGTATGCCCAAGTGTTGTTGTTGTTGTTGTTTTTATTTATACCCCCTGTACTTTGAATCCTTGTGTGCCCCCGGCACCTCTAGGATAGGCTTTTGTGGACTTGAAGTGTAAATCTGTTTCCTTTGTGTGTAGCATGCAAAGGTTTTGTGTTTGAGCCAGTGGTAATGTCACCTTTAGACAAAGCCTTCTATTAGTTGGATTTAAAATGTCTTGTCATTAGCTTTTTAAAAAAAAGGTGGGAAGTATATACTTCTGTATTTGCTAACTTTCCTGTGGAATTGACTGTACCAAGTGTTTTTTCTTAATGTTACATTTTAAAATATCCTTTCCCAAATCCACAGGGGAGACCCTCAGTTACATAGGCTACCAGTTTTGCTACTGAAATATCTAACTTAAGGATATAACTGTTTTAGAGTTGTTTTTTATATAAAGGTATTCTTGATTGTTAGACATTTCTAATTAAAAAGAACAATCAATGCCAAGAATGAATTCCTTGTGGTAGACATCTTTAGTTTATCTTTTTAGTGAAAATGGTATCTTTGAAAATTAAAATGGTGTCACGGAATCTGTACTTAACTACTAAAAAAGCCATTTCAAAATAGCTGTAATTTGCAGTGTATTTATTTCATTGTAGTTAGTGAATTAGTAGGTTTGTGAGTTGAAGTATATCTCAATTTTACTGAAATAGTCTTGAACATAATTGCAAAACAGCAGGGAACTATAACATGTTTTTTTCACTTTAAAGGGAACTTATTCAGAAAGAATTGGGAGCCTTTTTTGAACTTGTCATTTCATTGATATATTTGTAACAGTTAATACAGTTGACTCCTCATCTCAAATTTCAGTTAGGTGGACTATAATATAATTGGAATTATTGCTGTTGTTTAAGACAGCCAGTTCAGTTTCACATTGATTTTCTGAAATATTTCTCTTCTATTTTTCAAAGTGTTTCTTTATGTCTCCTTTGGAAGTTAGATCATATCCTGAAATCTAAAATCACATCCTAGTTGATTTTTACTGAGTCTGCTAAAAATTACCTACTTATTTCTAGTAATTTGAATGTTAGTATAAAAAATTGATCTGAGAAACCAGCTAAAATTGCTGGTTTAAATTTTTTAATGACTTGGAGTGTGTGTTTATGTGACCAGTTTGGGATATGGCTTTGTAATAATGTTGTCATAATGGGAGCAGCAGCAGTGTTGTGCAGATATCAAAGAGCTTCCCAGTTTTCCTGTTACCAAACTTGGAAATACTTTTCCTCAAGTACCTATTTTAATTATGGTGATTCTTAAACTTTACAGGAGAAAATACCCCTATATTCTTTGTGAAGTAAGTAGCTAGGATTGAAGTGGATAGTGGTTTACCAAGTTGAGGTGGAGATTCTGCTGGAATTCTTGTTTTCCTTTAACTTCTGTGAGTTCATATATTTTAAAATAATTTAGAACTAGGGAACTGAAGTTTTTCAGAGCATGTACAGTGCAGTTTGTCTTTATTCTTCTCTGGATACTTACCAGTTTCTTCTGGTGGTGTACCTGAAATTAAGATATGGCCTATTCGTGGCTTTGGGAATTTGGACATTGTTTTAAACCCTTGCTGTTATTTTAGTCATTCCAGGAAGGTGATTCCAAAGTTTGACTTAAGGATTGTTCTTACTTAAATCAGTATTTTTCAACTTGTTGCAATATTTAATAAGGGGAAGCAGTGCTGTTTGAACTGAAGAAAATCTGCTTGCTTTCTAACCCTTAAGACTTGGAACCTTTATTGTGGTAGTTAACGTTGTGGCTTATTTGGATGTTCCTTATCACACTGCATATCTCAAACGTGGTTTTTGGACACCTGAGTTACTAATTCAGAACCACCGTTCAGGGCAGGGTTAAAGTATGGCCATGATTTTGCACAGTTTGGGAGTTAACAATGTCTTTTACATCTTTAAGTGGCTGGAAGTTAATTGTAGTGATTATTTTGCTGGAAAACTAACCATTCTCATTCTTTTTTTTAAGTTTGTCCTCTACAGGTTATAATACCAGGGTTGAGTAGTTATGATGGACTTTATTGCCCCAGAGCTCATATTTGCATATTTACTGCCTGGTCCATTATAGAAAAAGTTTGTGCATCCTACTCCTGGGTATTAGCAGTAAGGCTTATAATGCTCTTGAATTGTAAAAGGAAAAGTAGATGATGAATGGAGGTGGGTCTGGGGAGAGAAGCATTAAATATGGTTGGGGAAATGAATGCTTATATAACTGCGTCAATATTCACCCTGGCAAGTTAGCGGAAAACAAAGTCAAAGTGTTCTGTCCTTCCCTGTTGGTATTTGAAACTCTGTGACATTACCATTTAGCTTAAGAGTGTCATGACATTCCCAAGGAAGAAGTGTTTTAATAAAACCAAAATACTATGCAACATTACAAGAGACTGTCAATCAAATCCAACACATTGTTTTCATAATTTTACTATGAATTAATGTTCTGGTGGACAGACCCTCTGTGATGTCAACCTCTTTGTGAGTTTGCTAGTCAAATTAATACACATTTTGGCTTGGTACCATTCCTTTAGTTTGCCTTAGGAATTGAGTTGGATGAAGAGTTAAATTCCTTTGTAAGAACTCATTGTATTTGCTGGAAACTTGCCATTAAAAATGGAAACTACAGCTGTGAATAGGGAAGAGTTTACAGGAGCATAGATTGTTCACTAGACATTGATGCATGCCTGCAAACGGAGACACCAGCTGGCTTAAATGAAACATAAATGGTTCTAGGCAAACAAACGAGATGTCTGTTGGAGCAGGCAGCATCTCACTTCAGATGTCATTTATATTGAACCAGAAGAGGGTTTCTTTTTAATTTTTTTTTATTTTGTGGTTGTTTAGACAGCTGTGAGGTTGCTTCTAGTTTGTCAGTGGATTCTGCAAATAAATGTTTTTAATGGTTTTGTACTATGGGTTTTAAATCTGATATTTAGGACTATATAGTGCAAGTTATTTTATAGTTCTGTAAAATACACATTTAAGAATCCTATGAGTTGGGACTGGGGTGTGTAACTCAGTGATAGCACTTGCCTACCATGAGTGTGGCCCTGAATTCCATCCCCAACATTATGATTAAGGGGAAAAAAGGACCAAAAAAGAAAGAAGAAATCTGTTTGTGGCCATTATAGAATAGTACAGTTATATTCCTTTTTGAGGGTTTTTGTTTGTTTTAAAGGTAGAGAAATGAAGTCTAACTTGAGCACAGAATCACATTGGGCTAACCATTTCTGGTGAGAGGTTAGCCTCTTGAGGTATGGATGCTAGTAGCTACTTTGGTTGCCACCAGGATAGAGTCTGATATGTAAAGGAGAATAGTTTCTTCAGTTTGGGGGTGGCTTTATAGGAAAAAAGAATATACTGTGTGTTACTTCAGTGCATTTTTCCTCCTAAATGTTGAGATAGACCCAGGAAGACACTTTTGAAAGATTGAAAATAAAAGACATTGAGTGGAAGCGTCTAGTTTTGCATAATTTTTTCCTATTTGAAAAAGAAACTTTCTCCGTAAATAAGAAGGCATATGATATGTTTAGTTTGGACATCTTAGATAGCTGGTTAATGGAACTAGATAGTGGCTTTGGGGGCAGGCTGGGTATTTTCAAGTATCTATATAACTGAATTAGTTAATCAGCATTTTGTGTTCCTTGCTGTTCTGTTTAACACTGTGCTTAGTGCTGATGACTCTTATGGTGTTTTCTATGCATATGTGAAACCATGGTGAATTTCTTGCCTTTGATAGGACTACCCTTCAAAAAAGTATGAGTAAGGGAAATATTGTTCAAGTCTGTATGAACAGTCTGGCTTCTGCAAATGGCTACTCTAACTTTATTGCCTAGTGTAGGATTCTAGAACACAGCTTACCTTAACATACCTCAAACTTTCTAAACACAACTGAGAAATGATCCATTAACAGTATTCTTGGGGCATTGTTAACAGGATGCCTCCTAAATTTTAAGTGTTGTTGAGGGTCATATGAGATGTTAATGTTTATAATAGTCTCAAAGGTATTACCTGCCATACTTTCCCTCTTAGGTAATGTCTTATCACAAATAAAGCTTTGAGATGTTGAATATTTGT